GGATAATCTCCAGAAATCAATTTAAAGGGTAATAAAATAATTGCTGATGTAATAATTTCTCTATATTACAAAACCACAAAATAAGTAAAAAGTAAGTATTTTATTTTTGTGTACAAGCTGTTTAGATTGTCAAAAAGCCTGTGTTTTTAGGGTTATTAACGAAGTTTGTGTACTCAGACCAGTAATATTTGGGGTCACAAGTTTTTGCCATGGATATTTTGTGGGTCAGAAGATAAAAAGTTTGGGAACCACTGGTCCAGGGTGTAGTTGTAGGAATGTTTGTGCTCTGAAAGGCCTGTTGACTGGCAGCCATCTTTAAACGGATTGTCCGTGGTGGGCCCTGAACGCACCATCAGTCCGGATCCAGAGAACAGAATTCGCTCCAGTTCTTCCATCGTCCCGACCGGACTCCATGTTGTTCCGTCAGCCTCGAACAAGTGCTCTGTCCGAAAACTCTCACGTTGCAACTTGTCTCTGTCTGAGAAGTTAAGTTGTGAGTGCAAGTGAGTGTTTAGAGTGTCCAGAAAAAGGAAAAAAAGATGGCAGACTACAGGGACGACACCGGAGCTCGAGCCCTGTTAGCTTTACAGTCGGCCCCGTGCAGCCCTGTGCGTGTTGCGGTGACCTCTCACGCCTATCTTCAGCCYTCGCTACCCCTCCTGGGTCCTCCGATCATGGAAGCTCGCAACGACGTCGGGAGTTTTCCTGCGAGACTTTCTTCTACTCCTCCGCAGGCCCTGGCGAGGCTCGAGGGCCGGGACTTCGAGTTTGTCATGCGCCAAAGGACGGTCACCATAGGCCGGAACTCGTCCCACGGCTCCGTGGACATCAACATGGGTCACTCGAGTTTCATTTCGAGGCGACACCTGCAGATTATCTACGACGAGGCGGGCGGTTTCTCCCTACGGTGCCTGGGCAAGAACGGCGTGTTTGTTGACGGAGTGTTCCAGCGGAGGGGAGCACCGCCACTGCCGCTGCCAAGAGAGTGAGTGCAGGCGGTTATAATAGCTGCTACCGATGGGATGGTGACGGTCAAATGAACGTGTCATGGTGTTTGAACGGTTTCACAAAGTTCAACATTACTTTCATTCAGTGGCCTGCCTATTTACACGAAAGTGACTTCTTATTTTATACCCTCTTATTTATTTTTTACAATTAAAACAAGTATAGAGTTTTATTTATTTATTTTTAGTTTGGCATTTATCTTAGCGTACTAAACATTATAATTTAAATGAAGAAAAATGTGAGACAACAACGTAGGGTATACAAAGTTTTTCATCACACCGGTGTCGAAATGCAAACGCATCGTCTAACAATTCTTGTGTATTTATTGCTATTTTATTGTTTTTATTTATATGCGTTGCGACACCTTAATGCTTCCTCTGTGGTTTCATTAACCCGCAAATCCACAGTGACTCAAGTCAAGCTGGATGTTAGCTGTTAGCAAACTTAGCTTCGTTTGTTGTGGGCCTGGATACGGACACGCATGATAGTGAAGGTGTTTTGTAAATGTTTTGAAAAGAAGTGTGCACAGCGTTACGTTAAAACTAAGTACTTATAACTATTAATACATTTTACTGGTACTTTTTATGCGTGAATGTCTTGTGACTGCTGGTCAAAGTCAGGTGTCATGTCGGCCGTGTTAGCTTAAAATGTTAGCTGCGCAGCTGTAAGTCAACGTGTCACCGTGAAATAAACATAAATGTAAACAAACGCACCCAAGACAACCCCTCTCACGTGTCTCGGGGAAAGAAATTCGACTCATACCGAAACTTGAAACGCTTTTTGTATAAAAAAAAATGTTACGGTGCTTCAAATGTAGGTTTGGTTTTGCGTAAGCAACATCCCGTTTTGGGGATTTAATGTTTTTTTTTTTTTTTTCGTAAAATAGAAGAAAGTCGAAAAACTGAAAGCTCATACTCTTCTGTGTGGAGATGTTTGTGTGTATTGGGGGTGGGGGGTTCCTTACTGATTGGCTACTCAAACTGTTTGGGGGCGTGTCCGGAAGTGTTGGCTTGAAAAACGATTTTACCCGCAGGCCCACATGGAGTAAACATAACACCATGTCCACCATGTTCTCTTCTTAGTGCACACAGTCCGTTTGGTCTTAAATATAAATATAGTCAAGGGAATATTTAAAGAGAGCAAAGGCAATTAAAAACGTCGAATTCATAAAAAATACAACATTGTTTTTTTTACAGAAAGGACATTTTTTTTGCATTACAGTAATCCAACTGCAGCACTGCAAACTTATTGAATCTGTTATGGTTTTATGTTCTTTTGATCAAAGTTAAGTGTAACTATAAACAAAAAAGCAACAATCTAAAGTTTGAGTCATTTCTTGCTTTTAAACCYTTAATCACTCAGCTGTATGATTATATGTTCTGCAGACAAAATTACTCTATTTTTATTTCAAATATCAGCTAAAATAAATCTAATCTAATCATGTTTATTTGATRTATATTTTTAATATTGCTTGGGCTTTAGAATTTATTTAAAATTTAAATTTGTCTTAATGATAATAATCTGTATTTGAGTCTATAGTATATTCTGTGTTCTAGTGCATCTGTTTTTATTAATCTGTTTATCATTACCAGAACTATTAACTTTTTACCTACAAAAGGATCAAATAAATTAACCAGATTATTATTTTTTTAATCTACAAAGTTGTATWTTTTGATTGTTATTACGTTTAATACAATGATTATACAGCATTACATCTAAGTTATAGTCCTTTGGAAGGGCATAGTATATTTTTTGCTTACTTCAAAATGTTGCCGTTTGTCCCCCTTCATTCAGGGATCATAAATTAAAATACAGAAAGAAAACAATTTAAAATAATAATGAAAACCCTGCTGCAACTAAATGCACTTGTGTTTAATGTGATAGTACTGTTGGCAAACAGATCTTTKTAGTTTTATTAGACCACTAAAATCATGTGCTCCAGAAAATGTTTTGTTTATTTCATCCAGTTCCAGGCAAGTTGTCAGCTGATTTGTTTTGACCAAAACAGTGGCTTTCTCTTTGCTGATCCTGTGTTTAGTTTAGGCTGACAAAAGAAAGAAGCTCATGTTTATTATTTGCTCAGTTTCTCAGCTCTTTAGAGCGTTCACAGATCACTTTCCTTTCCCAGCAGTGAGCTTCTCGCTGGGAATGACTGGTTGGTAGCTACAGTAGTTCAAGAGGAGAAAAAAAACCCCAAAAACAAGTTAGAATATTCTCTTAATATTTTTCTTCTCAGCAACACCTTTTGTGATTTTAACTGTTTTGTTTGTCACAAGAAGGTCTGGTACTGTCACAGGGTAAGACTCAACAGGCCACAACAGATTTAATTGTTACATTTGTAAAGATACTGTCGAATAGTTGACTGGTCATAAAACTTGACTACATTTAGTACAAACCCAATGCCTGTAAATGCACAGGAAAAAAGAAAAAAAAGGTTGCATTCACCAAAATGTTTCTGTTGTTAAAATAAAATCTCCTGGAACTGTTTCTGAAAAATTTGTTTAGGCTTGAACAAACGTGTCTGCCTTTAGAGACATTTGTCCAAACCTGTTCAAAAGTAGAAAACAAATGTAGGCYGACAAGTTTTGTGTCACATTTACACTGGTTAAGTATTTTTTGTSTACACAGGGTGCTTCAACTTTGTTTCTAATGTAAACAAACCTTTGTAGGAAGTAACACAAGCTTCCTTCATGATTCATTGTTTAATTTTGTTTTTGACAGATTTATTAATTATTTATTTTTCTTAGAACACATTGAAAAGCTCAGCTTCCCTTGAGGGAATGTATATCACCTGTCGCCTTTCATGTCAGAGTTTCAAACTCATATGATGAGAAATTAGAGTTGCACACAATCTCATGTGGTATTGTGATATCTTATGTCATCTGTTAGCACTTGGAGTGTGTGTGTGTGTGTGTTGGGGATGACTTTCAGCTACTACCACACCAAATCTTATCTGTAAAATTTACTGCAGTATTGTCAGGTTTGTGTTGGCTAAGAGTAATCCGCTGCGGCCATCTTGAACTGGGTTGACTTCAAAAGTTAATCAGTTGTAGGTGTACATCCAGAGATTATGTTGTGGGAGCTTCAATAAAATCTCTTCAGTGGTTTCTGAGATATTTTGCTAAAAGTGTTGACTCCATTAGGTAATGGCCAAGTTTTAAACAGAACTTCAGTCAGTTGGTGCTCAGAGGATTTAAAGTTGTGAAGCTTAAATTGTGGATAACTTTTAGCTACCATCAGTCCAAAATTTAGTTCAATATCTGTAAATTTGACAAATTTTGTTTTTGCTAAAATTGCTTAGCTGTAGCAGCCTTCTTGACTCTGTTTGACTCAAATCAAATCAGTTGTAGATGTGCATCAAACGCTTACTTTCTGAGAGTTTAAATAGATTCTGTCGAGTGGTTTATAAGATATGTTGCCAACAGACAAACACACACAGGCAAAAAATATTATTGCCCTCTCAAACTTCAGGGGTTGATTATTGTAAGATAAATGTGTAATCTTTCTTTAAAGAAATCCCACACAGGCCTGCCCTATCACACTGTCTTCTTCAGGAAAGGGACTTTGCTCAGTTGTGGCATACTTTACATGTAAAAAAAATTTTTTTCTGAGCTCTTCAAGATAACTCGTGTTATTATTTCTAGAGATGCCTGTGAAGTTGTTTGTGTTTTTATGTGTCTCTTTGACAATAACAATCTGTTTTCTACAGATCATGTGAGCGCGCTAACATTCCTTTATCGTAATGTTGTGTTGTTGTTGARGAGAGAATAAACAAATGACTCCCTCCTCGTTTCCGTCTTCTGTCCTGACTTCCCTCCATCTCCCCTCCCCTCCGTCCCGCTTCCCAGGTGCGTGTTTCGTTTTCCCAGCACTGTCATCAAGATCCAGTTCATGTCCCTCCTGGATGCTGAGGAGCACAGAGAGCAGGAGCCATCTCCTCCCCCTCGCCCACTTCTGCCCCATATTTCCCCTCTTAAAATCTGCATTCCCACAGCGCAGCAGCACGAGGAGCACATCAGGGCCTTCGGCTCTCCGCTGCCGTCACCCACTGGCACAATCAGGTAAAAGCAAAACACTGAGTAGATGAAACTTTTTATTTCATTTCTGTCCTGTTTCAACTTGAAKTTATTGAATTAAATTTTGCAATGGATCTTCAGATGGAAGATGGGGACAATAAATAGCATGTATCAAGTGCTGGCTACAGCACGTTTGAAAATCTCTGACCTATAAATGTTTGCAGCCTGTTAGAAGTTTCTGTTTGTGCCCTCTGCTGGTCAGCCACTGTCATTACAACATACATACCCACCAATCTCCTCTCGTGTGTGCATGCCTTATATGGGATGGTTGCAGCTTCGGAGTGTGTGATTGGCTATTGGGCAGACTGTTTTGCTTGTGAGCCTCTTTGTGTGTGTGTGTTTCGTCCATTCGTGGTTTCCTTTTCGCAGCCCCTGCCCCGCCACCCTTCCACCCTGCAGCTCCTGTTTTCTTGCACGTGGACTTTTAACAGACATGAAGTGAAGCAACTTGAATGTGTGTCTCGGCACCCTTCTCACTCTGACCTTTTTTTAAGCTGATAAATGTGTCTCAGTCATCACCTGTACAAACATGTAGCACCCACAGAGTTTTGTGTTGAAAGTGTGTAATCCCTCTTTTAACACTGACTTTGACTTTTCAACGGGTTCAAAGAGTCACTTTTCCTGTCTGGCAGCTCAAACGAACTACAGAAAACAACATTCTTCATTTGAGCACATGCAGGACTGGTCAAAAGGGAAAAGTACCAGTAACTAATTATTATTGCGCCCTTGCAACCTTTTAACAAATTTAGTAGTTTCTCTTTTAGTCTTGTATATTTATTCACTCCAATCTTACTGAACTCTAAAAAAATCAAAAATATGTGCAGCCTTGTTCCTTTAGCTAGAAAGTAAAAAAATATACCTTGCTCTTTTTCTCATTTAGTCTGTCTCACTGGCTATGTGTGTCTCACTCACTCTGTGTGTGTCTCTCTCACTCTGTATGTGTCTCACTGGCTCTGTATGTGTCTCTCTCACTCTGTATGTGTCTCACTGGCTCTGTATGTGTCTCACTGGCTCTGTATGTGTCTCACTGGCTCTGTATGTGTCTCACTGGCTCTGTATGTGTCTCACTGGCTCTGTATGTGTCTCAC